TGCTGCCACACTTTTTTTTTTCTTCTTATAAAGTCCAGGGTGTTGTAGAGGTGAGTCAATGAGTACACAGTGATCACCTGGAACTGTGAGCCGTAGGTGTTCCTTTGTGAGACCCCATCCCAACCCATCCTTACGTCAATACTCCTAGCGCATCCCCTATCCCTACTATCCTACCTCAGTGTGACCAGCACTCAGGACCATCGCCCTACCCACGAGCAGGCAACTTGGACCGAACAGCAGTGATAGGCACCAGGGTTGAGCCAGCCCTGGTGGAAGCGGATTTGAACGAACCATGTCGAACGAGGACTTCGGACGCCAGGCCCAGACAATGAGCTACAGGCCCCCATATATAGCCACCAGTCAGTTCTATCCGAATGACAGTAGGAACTGCACCCACTGGTACCCTATCCAACCAACCCGAACCTACTGCAGGCCCTAGACCCTACCAGTGACTAACTCCCCAGTCTGTTTTTTGTGTGTATACTCTGTGAATCTGTATATATATGGAACATGTGTATTTATGATTGTATGTTACTCCCCACCATGGAGCATCTACGAAGTGACTAGTAAGTACTAGTGAGAAGTGCTCGTACCACCTCCCCTAGTACGTGTATGAGTCGTATGAATATATCAAGGAGGACCGGGTCAAGCTGGACAAGGACCCCCCGCCAGGACCGAGCCAAGCTCGAACCCGTAACCTTGTAACGTGTAATCGAAGACTCTACTGTATGGACAACTACCAGATATGGATCGAACGTGTGATATGCTAGACCGGGGAGAATATCAGAACACCCAAGACCAACACCCCAAGCAAACCCTGTAAACCCACAACCAACATACAACACCATGGACTACCCTTGGGTGGTGCGCAGGCAGTGTCTGTAATAGTACCATGCGTCAGCCCAAGGGGATGTGTGTCCAGCCTTGCGTCAAACTAACGCCCTGCCGGTGTTCATGCGCAAGGCTGCGGAGTTTTGAACCCGCAACCTTATACCACAATGCGCATTTCCAACCGGTGCTCTAACCACTGAGCTACATCAACTGGACTGGTTGGTGCCACACTAATTAGTCCCCAAAATCGCAAATTTTGACCTAACGGCCGAAATCGATTTTTTTTCTTTTCTTTTTTCTCGGATTTCATGTTCCAGCTGTTTTTGTTTCAAACCACAAATAGCGTAGCATTCAAAATTCTCGTTTTTCCATTCTCTTTTGAAATTCGAAATTTTGTGCTGGAAATCCGGAAGATTGTTACAATTTTTTTTTTCGATTGGTATGTCCTTTTGCAATTTCTCGATATTCGAAAATTCCGCGTTTTTTTTTGGAATCCCCAAAATCCGTTATTTCGATTTTTTTTTGGAAATCTGTTGCGTTGATTTTTTGATTTTTCACGCATTCTGGTGGTAACGGAAATTCCGAAATTTGATTAGGACCGTCACCCCAAGATTCTGAAATTATTTTTCGGGAAATCCCTCTCACCCGAGTAATTCCGATTTATTTTTTTTTCGGAATTTGCTGAACTTGCAGAATTTTTTTTTTCGTTCACAGTTCTATTAATTCATATTATTCAGTCATTATTATTCATTTGCAGTCTAAAATTCGATTTTTTTTTCATTTACTTGCTGATTATCTGCTGTGGGGAAGACGAGGGGACCTACCAAACTTGCAATTTCGAAAAAAAAAACTCTCGAAATTCTCAGCAAAGTTCCAACTTTTCGTTTTTTTTTATTAGTGGCTCCTTATCTGGGCGATCCGTTTGATTCTCACACCCCCATCTCTTTGTCCCACCCCTCTCCTCAACTGCCCATCGGTTACCCCCGGCTGCAGCCTTGGTAAGTTATCACGTCTGTGTGACCACGTCAGCAATCCGCGGCGCATGATCGTACTCACTTGCTCACAGACAACGGAGATGGAGCAGAAGCAAGGCCAATCTGATGCAGACTATGAGACACGGATGATGGCTATGATGGTCGAAAGCAAGCAGCGGGCAGAGGCAGCAGCAGCTGCACGAAAGAAGAAGGAGGCAGAAGCAGAGAGGCTGCGACTTCTGGCAGAAGAACAACGGCAGAAGCACGCTGCAGCAACAGCTAAGGCCGCAGATGAAGAACGCATACGGCGGTGGGAGATTCTATTCAAGGAGGAAAATGCGGTACACGATCAGGCCAAGGATTGGTAGAAGGAGGCCGAGAGTGGGGAATTCGCTGACTACGGGAGCAAGCTATCTCAATTGCTCAACCGCGTCTCGGACCTTCTCGCTACATGCATTGCACAACAGGAGGACATTCACTCTCTCGACCACGCCAACCGCGCGCTACAGCGGTCAGTGGATCGGTTGACCAAGCGCGTACATTAGCTGGAGGAGCGACCAGTCGCCCCCTCCAGTGTCGTCCCCTCCGACCTCGCCGATCGTGTAAATGTCTTGGAGATAGACGTGGGAACGCTCAAGACCGGGGCACAGCGACTGGAGCGACAAGTTTGCGCAGCGACAGCCGGCCCTAGCACGTCGTCACGTGAGAGCATTGCCAAATTCGATGGGGTCCCGATCTTCTGCGACACATCGAAGACAGACCCTATACAGTGGTGGCGCCAGTTCGAACTCAAGCTGGACATCCACAAGGTCGTTGACAACAATCGACATGCATACTTGTACTCTCGGTCAGGACGTGCGTATCAAGCATGGCTGGACAACATGTTGTCCGCACCCGCGTGCAGTCTCCGAGCTGCATAACTTCATCAATTGGACTAATCGCACAGCGGCATGGCAAAAACGATTCCAAGTGGAACCACTCGAGCATCAGGCGATGGACAAGCTGCTGACATTTTCTCAGAACAACATGCCAAGCGGAGACTGGATATCCGAGTTCCAACGCTTGGCGAGCATGCCAAAGCTGCCGATGACCTTCGACGACATCAAGCTCTACTTCATCAAGAGGTCGTGCCCGGCGTTGCAAAATGTGTTGACTCAAGTCGTCGAGAACCTCAACAGAAGTGAAGAACTCTTCAACAAGGCTGCGCATATCATTGTGACGAACATGGAAGCCAAGAATATTGGTCGTTCGGCCAGGGCGCGTATCAGCATCGACCGAAAGTGGTCGTATTCGTGGCGGCAACGTCGAGCGACCCTTCAACTTCAAACGAGGCTGCCTCGTCTGACGAGGGAGACAGATTAGCAGCTGCCCGGAACGGTGACCGCCCCGCCAAAGGACGAGGTCGCGGCAAAACGAAGACAAACACCACTTCTTTCGGGCCCGGACAAGCAGCTCCAGCTCAAGAACCTTGGACACATTATGGTCTATCAGAGCGTGGGTATCGTGTCCGCACCAAGTACCGCTATTGTTTGTGGTGCAACAACTCAGCGCATGATACCGCAAGCTGCACAACCAAGGGCACTTCCCAGTCGGGAAAGTGAGCACTGCCGAGAGTGATGCAACGACACTCTCGACGCCTTCGGAACCGGTTGCCGTGCAGGTAACCTCCCTCGGTTCCGGGGCACATGCAGAAGTCGTAAATCCTCCCATTCGTCATTCTTTTGAGGACTATGCTTCCCGGCTCGTACCTTCGCTGAATTCACGAGCCCAAGGACATGATGTATGTGCAGTTTCTTCTCCGTTCGGAAGCAGCGGCATTGAGTCGTTTTCAAGTGGACCTTCACGAGATTCGGCGCGCGTGTTCAACATAGAGGACCTGGACCTGTTGACACCCAAGGATTTTGCATGGCTTCCTCTCCCTTCCACCAACTGCTTATTGGAACCGCAATGCGCAACACTTAGCGCTCATCTACATACATACTTGGCCTTTTATGCACCACCAACTTCGCCAACCAATGACAAGGTCGTGGTGGAGGACATCCTTGGGTATGTTACCAAGGTGGCCAGCGAGTTTCGCACGCAGCGGTACGATGATAACAATGCACCATTCCTTTATGTCCGCATCCAACTTGGGCAAGCGTCCTGCAACGCTTTGCTGGATAGCGGCGTGACTCGCAATTTCATCAGCTAGTTTTGTCCAAAGGGCTGGCCTTGGCCCACAAGTTCGAAGAAAGGCACACCCTACGGCGATCAAGTTGGCGGACGGAAGGACGCAACAACTCCTTGACCGCCACATCGAGGCCGTACCGGTCTATTTCGCACCTCATGCATGCGAATTGGTGACGTTTGACGTCTTGGACACGGACTTCGACATCATTTTGGGCATGCCTTGGCTTGCAAGTGCGGATCACACGATCAACTTCCATCGGCGGACACTTACAATCCGTGACGCCTTGGCGTCGAAGTGTCGTGTACCATCCCTCCTCCGCACCCTTCGATCCGGTGCCAAGTTGTGACGGCCAAGTCTTTCCGGGCTACTTGCGCTTATGAGCGGCCCGACGAGATAGGCCTATGCTTTCTTCGAACTGTCGCGGTAGCCGAATCTCCACCCACGGACTTGTCTTTGGACCCCCGTGTGGTACGGTTGCTTGATGAATTCGCCGACATTTTCGAGTCACCTACCGGCGTGGTGCTTGATTGGCCGATCTCTCACGAGATCATTCTCAAGGCTGGAGTCGTGCCGCCGAAAGGTTGCATCTATCGCATGAGCAAGGAGGAACTTACAGTATTCCGCGGGCAGCTCGATGACTTGTTGGACAAAGGCTGAATCCGACCTAGTAGCTCACCCTATGGTGCGCCAGTTCTCTTCATGTGGAAGAAGAACAAGGATCTTCGCCTATGCATCGATTACCGCAAGCTCAATGCACAAACCGTCAAGAACACGGGGCCTCTTCCTCGTATTGACGACCTTTTGGCGCGTTTGGGCGGCGCAAAATTCTTTTCAAAATTGGATTTGAAGTTGGGATATTATCAGATTTCGATACGCCCGCAAGATCGCTACAACAAGACCACGTTCAAGACGCGGTACGGGCATTTTGAGTAGGTGGTCATGCCTTTTGGGCTCACCAATTCCCCGACGACTTTTCAAGCGGGGATGACCAACGAGTTTCGCGCAATGCCAGATCGGTTTGTGCTGGTCTACTTGGATGACATCCGCGTCTATAGCCGGACCTTGGAGGAACATCTCGAGCATCTTAGGCGAGTATTGGAGACGCTCCGTCGCGCCAAGTACAAAGCCAACCGTGACAAGTGCGAATGTGTGCGTCAAGAGTTGGATTACTTGGGCCATTTTGTCACACCGGAGGGCATCAGTCCGTTGTCGGATAAGATTGAAGCCATCCAAGATTGGCCGGAGCCGTGAAATGTCACGAATGTCCGTTCGTTCCTTGGCCTTGCCGGCTACTACCAACGTTTCATTAAGGGATACTCGAAGATCGCGGCTCACTCGATCAAGCTTTAATGCGAGGTTCGGTCGTTTGACTTCGAGAAGGATGCGAGGGAATCATTTTTGGCCCTCAAGGCTGCATTGCTATCTGCGGAGGTCTTGCGCGGACATTGGTGTCGTCCTCGAACAACATGATGGCGTGGACTGGCACCCGGTCGAATACTTCAGCAAGAAAGTGCCCGTCGTGCACTCAATTGATGATGCACGCAAGAAGAAACTTCTCGCCTTCGTCCACGCTCTCAAGCGGTGGCGGCACTTCCTCCTTGGTCGAAGCCAATTCCGATGGGTAACGGACAACAATCCATTGGTCTTTTACAAGACCCAAGATATCGTCAACAACACCATCGCCCGTTGGATGGCTTTCATCGACTAGTTCGACTTCTTTCCCGATCACATTCCGGGGAAGTCAAACCGTTTCGTGGATGCTCTTTCATGATGTCCGGACCATTGTACCGCAGTCTATTCGACCTTCGAGATCGATGACGACCTGCGAGACAGCTTCATCTGCGGCTACCAGGCCGAGCCCGAGTTTTGCGACACCAATCCGGCACCATCACACTATCGGATCCAAGAGGGATATTTACTCGTCCACTCGCGGGGGAAGGATCTTCTTTGTGTGTCGCGAGATTCACACTTGCGCACTTGACTTCTTGGCAAGTTCCACGACGCTTCCACCACAGGAAATTTTGGAGTCAATCGTACGGTTGGCCGACTCCGCGAGCGCTTTTGGTGGCCCGGTCTTCTTGACGACGTCACACGCTATTGCGAGTCATGCGAGGTTTGCCGACGTTGCAAATCCCGCAATCATCGTCTGTACGACGAGTTGCGACCATTATCGGTCCTCTTGTGCCGAAGGGAAGCGATTGCCATGGACATTATCGGGCCGTTCCCCAAGCAAAAGCCTGGTGTGGATGGGATTCTCACGGTGGTCGACCGACTCACCAAGTTTGCCATGTTTCTGCCTTGCCGCTATCATGCCAAGGCACCGGAGTTGGCTGACAATCTTTACGTCGGTTCGATTCGAACCAAGGGTTACCCCAAGGAAATCGTCTGCGACCACGACACTCGGTTCATGTCCGACTTTTGGTTGGCGTTCATCAAACGATGGGGCTCATCTCTCAAACCGAGCTGGGCTCGCCATCCCCAAACCGATGGCCAAACGACAAGGGCATCTCAAACCACACAGGTTCTTCTTCGCACTCTCATCCGTCCCGACCAAAAGGATTGGGTTGAGCGGCTGCCGGATGCCGAGTTGGCATACAACTCGTCCATCCATCCGGCTATCGGGATGTTGCCCTTTGAGTTCGAGCATGGCTCGCCGGTCAATTCTCTGTTCGATACGATTATCCTGCGGGCGGCGGAGAGCGACGACCATCTTCTCTTCACTTGTCGGATGCAAGAGCGTCTTGTCAAGGCACACAACCAGATGTCGAAGACGCAGCAACGTATGTGCCAACAGGCCAACCTCCAACGTCTTCCTTGTCCGTTCTGCGTCGGCGACCTCGTATGGGTTTCCGCCGCGGAATTCAGCCTCGAACAAGACGTTTCTCGCAAGCTCCTTCCGTTGGGGACGCACCCGAAGGACCTTCCTTTGTCATTCAGGTGCCCGCCCACTTGCCCGTCAACCCGGTCTTTCACTGCTCCAAGTTGGCTCTGTACACGCCAACGGAACATGACGACTTTCCCGGGCGGCGATTGCAAGACCCACCCTTGATGGACGGTTTTCAAGAGGTTGGCGACATCATATCCCAACGATGTTACGACAACAAACTGACTGAATTCTTGGTCCATTTCACATACTGCACCCATCGAGTTGACCGTTGGTTGACCCTTGTGGAACTACAAGCAACAGCCCCTGATGTTCTCGCACGCTACAAACGCAAGTTGCAAGGCAAGCCGGCATCTTCGACTCCATGTCGCACCCGCGTCCAGGTTCCACCTTCAGATCGTCAGCTTCGCCCTCGACCCGGCTCGACTTCATAAGGAGGGGGGGAGGTTAAATGTTGCGCGTGCACACGGGCTCTGTTTTGAAGGGCCCGCTGGTTGCTAAGGGGCCCGAGACCACGCACCATCCAACGCGCACCTTGGAGGCCCATAGCGGCCTCTTTGGCCACAGGTGCCGGTAGGGTCCGTCCGAACGTCGTTTCGGACTGCAGGTCCAGACGACGTTTCGATTGCAGGTCCCAAGGCAACGCCTTGGACCAGGTATGCAGGGACCAGGGCTTTTTCAAGGCCAGACGAGTTTTGGCGCCTCGCTGCATCAGCAGCGCAGTCTGGGCACCCGGTAGGGACCCAGACTCAGTAGGGCGTTTTGAGGCCGCACCTGAGTCTGCCCAGTCGGCCCGACGCTACATATAGCTGGGCTGAGACCGAACTCAACGGAGAGTCCGGTCGCTCACTTCTTGAGCGACACGCTGCTGGATAGAGGCTGCGCTACTGGACCAGGAGGAGACGCACACGGAAGGAGAGAGAGACGGAGGCTTACCTGCGGCCACGGACTTACCTGTCACTATAGCTGGGCTCCGCGTGGTACCTGCACAGGGCGGCGACATAGTTAGCACGGCGGTAGCACCTGTAGGTGAGATAGCGAGGAGGACGGCATTCTCTTCTCCCTCCCCGTCCTCCACCTCATCTCTCTCTCTCCTTTTTCCTCCTTCCTCCTTCCTCCTTTCTCTTCTTCATCTTCTTCTTCTTCTTCTTCAGATACGAGAGTGAGAGAGGTTATCAGCAGAGGATATCGGCAGATGTTACCAAGGGCATGTTGCCCAGGATCTGATTCGACATTTCTGAGGCAAACATTGATTGGACACCCGGCAAGGGACTATTTTGGACTTCGCTATCGTGATCTTGGACTCCTTCCTCGCCTACATCTTTGTCTTCCCTCTGCCTCCATCCCTCGTCTATAGTATCTCCCCATGCGCGTGTACAAGGAGGGACCTTTCTTCTTGGTGTGCGGTCCCTCCTCTTCCTCTCACATGTGTGATGTATGATGGGATGTCGTGTCAGTCCAGGTCAGGTCAGGACTTACCTTGAAGTCTTCCGCTGCATTATCGAGTGCCATTTCGTATGTGTCAGGATGTACATTGCCTGTTGATGTTTCACTAACGTTGCATTGTCCATTCAGTCCTTTTTATCACAGTGCGGATCCTTGGCTCTACATACATTGCACAACTGGCATGTATCAGAGGGTATAGTTTTGGTAGTGAGAACACAACACAATGGCAGGTATTGGGCAGGTTTATTTTATCTTTGGAGTGCTGAGTGTGGTTTAGGGGAAAGCTAGGAGTTGCTCATTGTCTGTGAGGTTGCGAGTTGCGGATGTAGTCATCATCTTTGTCATCATCAACTGATTTACTAATCTCCATCATCTTTAGCATCATCATCATTAGTATCACTATCTCACAGTTTTCATAGAAACAGCAGAAGTTCATCATCATCATTACAATCATCATCATATGATGGACGCTGAGCTCGGTTCTCGGCATGTTCAATTTGGTCACTCCGGGTAGACTGTGAGGACCAGCACACGTCTGAACTCCAGTCAAATATCAGCCTTGGATGCCGTCTTCTGTTAAAAAAAAAAAAAAAAAAAAAAAAAGAGGAGTTAATCGATACAAAATTTGACACTAGAATAGGATTAAATTCCACGATAGCTTAAGGTAGATTAGGGTAAATGAATGGCATAGCCTTTCATAACTTTCTTCCCTTTTGCAACGAGAGATTCACACGGAGTGGGCTGAAGATAGGCGTCTTCATTGTGGGAGGTCCGTGGTTGGGGATGGGACTGACCGGAAGTGCCTCTCCCAGCCTGGTTTGGCTACGACATTCATGTGAGGGATGCCGGGCCCATTTCCCAGTTTTATAATGCAAAGAAAAAAAAGAAAAAAAAGAAAGGCGAAAAAAGAATTCCTAACCAAACTTGAGTTAAAAGTCAAAAACTAAAAAAAAGCTGAGTGAGGACACTGGCTGGGCCCGGGGGGGCCGCCCGGGTAAACCAGGCGGGCCAAAAAAACGCCCAGAATTTTTATTTTGTATTTTTTGAAACCAGGGTCGTTCTGCGCTCGGCGAGAGGACTCCGAATCTGCAATAAATTTTGGTTTTTTGGGGGGAGGTGAGGGGGGTGGTCTGGGTGGGGGTTGCTGGGGTTGGGGGCGTGTCTGGGCGTTTGGGACTCTGCATGTATATTGCCTGCTGTGTGTTGAATGTATGTCATCTGATATGTACAGGGTTGGGGGCTCTACATGTTTGTTGCCTGCTGCATGGGGTTGGGAGGTGTCTGGGCGTTGGGGGCTCTGCATGTATATTGCCTGTTGTGTGCTGAATGTATGTCATATGATATGTACTGGGTTGGGGGCTCTGCATGTTTGTTGCCTGCTGCATGGGGTTGGGGGGTGTCTGGGCGTTGGGGGCTCTGCATGTATATTGCCTGTTGT